GGAAGAAGACTTGTCGAGCACCGGACCAATAGATTTATTGTCCTGAGCTTTCGAACTCTTGCAGGAGTCCATCTGCAAGAGTTCGAAATCTCAGGACAATAAATCTATTGATCCGGTGCTCGACAAGTCTTCTCCCTTATCCAAACAATTTTGAAATTCGCGAGAACTCCCATTGTAAATATCAAAAGATAAATTGGCGAGCAAATGTTTGCTTTCAATAACTTATCTTCAGGCCTATACATTTATATGGTAATGAAAGAAAGAAAGAAATATGTAGTGTTGTTTTTGTCGTCAAGGTCGGTGGAGAATGGGAAGAATTGAGGTTAAAATGTCAAAGTTCAGGCGGATCGGCAGCCAAGACAGGTGATAAGGTGCGCAGGGTGGAATTAAGGACTTGTCCGTCTCTGGGGTGACCCGGTTCCAAGGCCGGTGATTATCCGTGGTCGGTTGTGTTAGCTACTTGCGCCTGTGGTAACTGTAGCGTTGTTGCAAAGTTCTTTTGAGCGCACAGGACCGATCTACGTAGCCTGATGGCAGCCGCTTCCGCAGTAGCCAATAGACGCTGTCCAAGTTATTTTTAATAGCTCGAGGGCACCTTGTAGATCACTAGGAAAGCTTCTCTGGCATCCACGCGATGGTTCCAGTCTACCATGTGCGCTAAAATAGAACTATGAATGCTCTTAACTTGACCCTACTCTAACCATGCTGGGAGATGTTCTCATACTCTTTTGGACAGACGCCAGCTCGTGCGACCAATATATTCTGCCCACAGGAGCCGGTCCGCCTAGATATTGGCATTTTGATTACAATTCCCCCCACTCCCCACCGCCCCTGACAACAATGACACCACATCTTTCCACCGACTGGCAGACTTGATTTATTTCATTAGCACATCAAAGTACAGGCCTGAAGAGAATTTATCGAAAGCAAACGTATGCTCGCCAATTTAAATTGTGAAATTATTCACTGTTACTCCCTCCAGCAATAAATCGCAAACTTTTGGTAAATCAGTATGTGCCTATTATAACTAAAACGGCGGAATTACACACATATTAGTAAAACGGTTACCCCAGAGAGTTCGTGCGCCAATGCATGGAACGACAAGAGTTTAAG